TTTTAATTCCCTTTTTTCCATGAATTTTCTGAGACCCCCTTTTGTTTACCCAACATCTGTCTCTCCTACAGGTTAAGCTTTATGGGGGCAGTTACTGTCTGTTTTTGTTCACCGTTGTATCCTCAAGGTCTAGAGGAATAGCTGGCATATATTAGGTGCTCAATAAAAGGTTGTTAAAAGAATGTGATTCTTAATTTGGAAATTCCAAGATTTGAACTTCCTGGATTCAAAACTCTGTGAGTCTTGAGGCAGTAATTCTAAGATTTTACAGTCTGTTTGCAGAATGTCCTAAAACCCACTGCCATCTAGTTGTTTCTGACTCATAACCATCCTACAAGACAGAGTAGAACAGCCCTATAGGATTTCCAAGGCTGTAAATCTTTAGGGGAGCAGGCAGCCACAGCTTTCTCCTGGGGATTGGCTGGTGAGTTTGAACGTCTGACCTTGAGGTTAGCAGCACAATGCTTAACATACAGAGTCATTAGGGCTCCTAAGGGTCTTGTCATTAAAACATCAAAGATTGTTTAAATCGGACCATCTGAGGTTTCAGGACTGGCACACTTCTGTGATTAGAACATCCAAGCTTCTGAGTCTTGCGTTCTTTCCCTCTTGCAGAAGAAGCGCCCTCGACAGCTTCCTCAACCCCTGATTCCACAGAAGGTGAGTGCATTGGGAGAATGCTAGGGGAGGGGCTTGAAAGGCGTTCCCAGCTGGGTAGAGGAGCTGAGGAGAGCCTTCTGAAGTAAAGCCTTCCGGTGTCCTTCCTCCTGAAAGTTTACAACTCGCCTTTGCCCACTGCAGGCGGGAACGACGACTCAGATTTCCGGGAGCTGCACACAGCCCGGGAATTCTCAGAGGACGACGAAGAGGAGACCACGTCGCAGGACTGGGGCACCCCTCGGGAGTTGACCTTCTCCTACATCGCCTTCGATGGCGTGGTGAGCTCTGGGAGCCGCCGGGACTCGGCTGCCCGCCGCCCACGACCCCAGGGCCGCTCAATCTCAGAATCACGAGACCCGCCCCCTCAGCCAGGACTAGGAGACAGCCTGGAGAGCATTCCTAGCCTGAGCCAATCCCCAGAGCCCGGACGCCACGGTGCCCCTGACATCGCCTCTGCAGCTGAGCGCCCCCTGGAGGACCTGCGGCTCCGGTTGGACCAACTGGGCTGGGCCGCCCGGGGAGCAGGATCTGGGGAGGACTCCCCCACCAGCAGCTCCACACCGCTGGAAGATGAGGAGCCTGATAGATCAGAGGCGGGAGAGGCTGGGAACGGTGAGAAGTCCGAGGGGCTGGGCCAGAGGTTGTGAAAGGTGGGGGTCTCACCACACCCCTAGGGGAAATCACAGGATCTTGACTCCTTATCTCTCTGCCTCCATAGAACGGAACCTACACCTCCTGCTTGCTCAATCCTCGCCGCCTGAGGTTCTGATTCCCCAGCCCAGCCCTGGCTCTGGGGTTCCTCAGGCTCGTACCCCGTCCCAGTCCTCTTCCCGATCGCGGGATTCGAACTCTTGGCCTGATGAGCCCTCGCTGGACGAGAAAGAGGAAGAGCCGTGGGGGCAACTGGAACGGGAGCGAATCACGGGGCAGTGCCCCGACAGCAGGGACCAATCAGAATTCACGTTGGAATCACACCTTCTAGGTAAGTGGTGTATCTGTGAGCAATGGGTCTCCATGGATTCCAGGGAGACAAAGGGTGGGATTTCAAGGAAGGAAAATAGTGTTGAACTGAGAAGGTGATGTTATTGACTAGATATGAGAAACTCCATCCTTTAAAAAAAATTGTTCCCATTAACTGAGGGTTGTCATTGGCTCTTTATATATAGTTTCCCCGCTCCCTTGAGAAGTTAGCCCGCCTTGAAGCATTAGGATTAACAACATATCTATATCTATATCTATTTATATATCTATATCCATATCTATCTATCTATCTATATATACATAAAGGAGCTCTGGTAGCGTAGTGGTTACGAATCGGGCTACGAACCGCAAGGCCAGCAGTTTGAAACTACCAGCTGCTCTGCGGGAGAAAGATGAGGCTTTCTGCTCCCGTAAAGATTTACAGCCTCGGAAACCCTGTACAGGGCCGCTATGGGTCGGAACTGACTCGACGGTACTTAACAACAACAACAATATATATGCATATATATATGTTAAGTGCCGTTGAATTAATTCCAACCCATAGCTACCCTGTATAGGAGTGACTGATGAGCTTGAACCGCCAACCTGCAATTCAAACGACTTTGCAGTCCGGTACATTAACTCACAGAGCCACACCAGGGCTATATATATATATGGAGAGAGAGAGAGAGAGTGTGTGTGTTCTGGTAATGTAGTGGTTAAGAATCGGGTTGCAAACGTCAAGGTCAGCAGTTTGAAACTACCAGCTATTTTGCGGGAGAAAAATGAGGCTTTCTGCTCCCGTAAAGATTTACAGCTTCGACCTTGTACAGGGTCGCTATGAGTCGGAACCAACTCCACGGCACATCACCACCACCATATATATATATAATTAGTTGTTGTAAGTGCCATCTAGTCGACTCTGACTCATATGGTGTCCAAGGCTGTAAATCTTTGCGAAAGCAGAAAGCCTCATCTTTTTTTCATGGAGCAGCTGGTGAGCTAAACCACGGACTGTGTGGTTCACAGTCCAGTGCTTATCCTACAAAGTTATATATATATCTGCGATGGGGAGGAGCTGTCTTCTGTATATGGCTAGTAAACGTTTATAAGGACACTCTGTTATTGTTAAGTACTGTCGAGTCTGTTCTGACTCATAGCGACTCTGTATAGGGTTTCCAAGGAGCGGCTGGTGGGTTTGAACCGCAAACCTGTAGTTCAAACTGACCTTATGGTCCAGTGCTTGTCCTACAGCACCACACCAGGATTCTACATCTTTTAAAAATTCTCCTCTTCCCTGTCTATGGAGCCCTGGTGGCGCAATGGGTTAAATGTTGGGCTACCAACGAAAGGTCGGCAGTTTCGAACTCACTAGTCTCTGGAATGGGAGGCCTGGTGTGGCTCTGTTGTTAATGCTCTGGACTGCAAAGTCGGTTTGAACCGTAAGGTTGGTGGTTCAAGCTCACTAGACATTCCTTGGAAACCCTATACAGAGTTGCTATGGGTCAGAACGGACTCAACGGCGCTTAACAATAACAGCAACAAACCTCTGGAATAGGGGGAGAGAAAGATGAGGTAGTCAACTTCTATAAAGACGCGGGCAGTGGGTTTGAATTAAGTTTTCCTGACTTGGCCTAATTGACCCCGCCTCTCTTTATAATATGCCCCGCCTCCAGGAACTTCCAGAGGCTGGTTCTCAGCTGCCCTTCTTTTGACAGTTTACAAAGAGAGCCACGTCCCTTTTTGGGTTTGATCTCACGTCTGTGAACAGCCATTGGCTGAGTGCACACAAGCCCCGCCCCTCCCACCCCTCCCCGTAGGTTCCACCATAGTGGGCAAAAAAAAAAAAATCCTCGAGAAACACCGGCGTCTGCAGCCTCTCACTCGCAGCGAAGATGGGGAGTGAAGGTGGGCTTTCGGGTCGGACTAAGGCGGGGAGGGGGAGCTGGATGACGGAGGAAAGGAGTCTGGATTCGCCCTCATTGCCCCCAAATCTGGGACATGTTTCCCATTGGTCCCCCAGCTTCCCCAGAGCTGCTGGCTGGGTTTGGGAGGCTAAAGGGCTGTGTAGGGAGGGTACCGAGGGAGCTTAGGGTCTTCCCTTCTCTGAGCTGGGACCTTGGGGCCAGGGGCAGGGAGACCCCCTCCCCCAGCCTTGGGGCCCAGGTGGCGCTGTCACTCAGCTGCAGGACAGGCCAGCACAGCTGCGGCCCAGGCCCCCTCCCCCCAGCGGGCCTAAACTTAGCCCCCGCCTCAGACGACCTGGCCCTCCCCCACACCCACTGGCTCTGGCCTTGAGGGAGCCTGGGAGTGAGGAACGTTTTGGAGGGGGATTTACTTATAGATGGAGGATATGGACAAGGAGGATACAGACGTGAAAAGGGTCAGATTCTGAAAGGGACCAATTAGGATGTTTCCAAGCTTGATTGGAGCAAAGATGGGAGAAAGGAGAGGGTGTGGAGGAAAACTAAAAAAGTCTGGAGGAATTCTCAGGGCTCTAATGTGAGAGTTATTAAACTTTAGTTGAGTGAGATGAAACATTGGGCTCCAAAGAGTCCAGAGTCACAGAAAGGGATGAGAAATTGGAGTCAGGGCTTAAAAAAGGGTGTAATTGTTAAGTGCTGTCAAGCCGATTCCAAATCATAGAGACCCTGTATAGGTTTCTGAGGCTGTAAATTTCTGTGGGAGCAAAAAGTCTCATCTTTCTCCTAAGGAGCAGCTTGTGGGCTAGACTTCAACCGCTGACCTTGTGATTTGCAGTCCAGTGCTTATCCTACAGAGCCACCTAATAAGCCCTGTTGCGGGGCAGGCTATTGGGAAAAGAGCATTCTGATATGTTGTTTGTGGAAATGAGACTCATTAGGATCTTGCTCAGTGAGCAATCTGGCAATATTTATGACATTCAAACCTTCATAACCTGTTCATTGAGTGATTCCACCCCGGAGACTAGCTCATAAATAGAAGTTCCAGGAGGTAAAAGGATGTTGCTTGCAACACTGTTTTGTGGTGGGGAGAGCAAAAAGGAGACAAAGCAAATGGCCCAGCAATAGGTCAAGGTTGAATAGATGGATGATGGTACAGCCACACCCTAGAATCCCTTGAAAAGGTAGTGCCTGATGTAATGATGAGAGGGCTCCTTTTCCTATGACTTTGTGGTAAGTGGGTCTTTTTTTCTTTTGAGTTTTCTTTATAATTGCCCTTATTATCGGTATCTTTATAAAAGGACCCCTGATAGCACAGCATGTTAAACATTGGGCTATTAACTGTAAGGTCAGCAGTTTGAACCCATCCACCACTCTGTGGGACAAAGATGGGGCAGTTTACTTTGGTAAAGATTAACAGCCTCGGAAACCCTGCCTGCGGTACAATTCTACTCTGTCCTACATCACTAATATGAGTCCTAATCAACTTACTAATCATGGGGTTTGGATCTTAAAAGTCCAATTTTTATTTGTCTTTGGATGTTGGCTACAAATAAATTTACAGATAAACATTTTAAGACATTCATACATTAAAACATACACAAATCATGCATAAAAACAGGCGGCTGTAAGTGTGGTTTGTTGTAACTTGAATTTGCCGTTCAGTGGGGAATACTTGTAATCTTTCAAAAGAACAAACCAAGAGCTATCCCTTGATTCAAAGGGGCTTCTCTGGGCAAAGTGAAGTGAAATAAGCAAGATGCAGAGATGTGTATATGTGGGTTCAGTTTTCATAACTAACAGTCAAGAGGCATGTCTATGCATATGTGTGTCCATATCGTAAATGAATAAGATTAAGGGAAGGAGCTCTGGTGGCACAGAGGTTGAAGCTTGGCTGCTAATCTAAAGGTCATTGGTTCAAAGCCACTCAGTGGCTCTGCAGGAGAAAAGATCTGGCCATCTGCACCCAGGGAGATAAGACACCTAATGGGGTTTTGCAGAGTTTTCCTGTCACATGGGGTCTCTATGAGTTGAAATCTATAGCACCTAACAAAGGCCAGTTGTTGTTGTGTGCCGTGGAGTCGGTTCCGACCCATAGCGACCCTGTACAGGGTTTCCAAGGCTGTAAATCTCTACGGGAGCAGAAAGCCTCATCTTTCTCCCGCGGAACAACTGGTAGTTTCGAACTGCTGACCCTGAGGTTCGCAGCCCGATTCGTAACCAGTACGCTACCAGAGCTCCTTAACAAAGGCCAGTAAGTTAAGGAAAATTGCTAGGTGGTTAACTTGGGTTTTAAGTGGAGGCTGGGAGGAAAGATGAGGAAAGCATCTAAGAAACAAAAAAAGGAGCTAGTAAATATTTGGAGGTTGGTTGGAGGCTCAGCTCAGCACAGCACAGGGACAGGAAGTAGGGGCCCAGGTTAGAGGTCAGCCAGGCCTGATGCCCCTCCCCCCTGACAGTGGCGGACCTGCTGTACTGGAAGGATTCGAGAACGTCAGGCGCGGTCTTCACGGGCCTCCTGGTCTCCCTGCTCAGCCTCCTGCAGTTTAGCATCGTGTCCGTGGCTGCCCACGTGGCCCTGCTGCTGCTCTGTGGCACCATCTCTCTCAGGGTTTACCGCAAAGCGCTGCAGGCTGTGAACCGGGGGGACGGCGCCAACCCTTTCCAGTGAGAACCCCTTACCCTGACGCTGACCTTCAGCCACAACCCCAGTACCTCAAGTCAAGCACACATTCTCGCCCTGGCCCTGACCCTTCTGGATCCGTTTTCTGACCCGAATCTGACTTCAAACTAGGCTGTGACCCCTGATCCCCAGTCCTAACATCTTACCCTTAATCCTTGATACTGATCCTAACCTTAACTCTAACCTTTCGACACCTGGTTCATTTGACTTGTCCTCAGTCCAGACTCTGGTCTTCACCCTGACCCCCACTTCTTACCCTTGTCCCAGCCACACACACCCCCAGCCTGAGTCCTGCCCACCTCATTTGTCCCCTCAGGGCTTACCTGGATATTGACTTGACCTTGACCCGGGAGGAGACAGAGCATTTGTCCCATCAGATTGCCTCCCAAGTGGTCTCTTCGGCCACGAGACTGCGGCATTTCTTTCTGGTGGAAGACCTCGTGGACTCCCTCAAGGTGCCCCCAGACTCCCACGCCTTCCTGGGTTCCCAACATCCACCTCCATGCCCCTGGGGGTGGAGGGTTCCCACTGGGTAAGTTCACAGCCTTTGGAGCCTCTGCTGACCCTGACTTTCCGCCCCCAGCTGGCCCTCCTTTTCTACATCTTGACCTTTGTGGGCGCCGTCTTCAACGGTTTAACGCTTCTCATTCTAGGTGAGTGGGGAAGGTTGCGGCAAGTGAGGTGGGGCGGTATCTAGTTGGGGTGTGATGGGGGATAGGCCCAGGAATAGAACTGTTTGATCTGACGTGACCCCCCCATAACTCTGTGCCCACAGGAGTGATTGGTTTATTCACCTTCCCTCTGCTATACCGGCAGCACCAGGTGAGTACATGCAAGACTACAGTTGCCAGAAACCCACCCAGCTAAACATGAGTGGTCTGACTGCCCCTTTCCCCCACCCCTCCCACTTCACCCCAAGCCAGAATCCCATTGATAGATGTCTCAGGCAGAGACAAGAAAACCAACTGGCATTCCCAGCTCTGACAGAGCCAGTGTCTGATTTACAGGTGCCCCAGCCAGACATGAGGTCTGACCACCACCCTTCCGCAACAAAGTTGTGCTTGGTACTTGCCATCAGGGTCAATTCATGGCGACCCCAAGTATTACAGAGTAGAGCTGCCCCCTCGAGTTCTTTTGTCTTGTGGTCTTTAGGAAGGATCAATGAAAAAATCCTCAATAAGATGGATTGACAGAGTAGCTGAACATTAGCTGTACATTAATTGCAACAATGGCCTCAAACCTAGCAGTGGTTGTGAGTATGGGCCAAGATCTGATTATGTTTTAAAATATCGTGTACAACAATACCTAATAATAGTAGGAATAGAAGCAGATTGCTAGGTCTTTTCTTCCGCAGTACTGATGGGTTAGGTGGATTCAAACTGCCAACTTTTAGGTTAGCAGCTGAGTGCAATATAGTTCAAAACCCAACAAGTCACTTCCAACTCATAGTAAGTCTATAGGCCAGAATAGCACTGCTCAATATGGTTTCTGAGATTGTAAATCTTTAAGGCAGGAAACAGCCTCATCCTGGTGGATTTGAACCACTGACCCAGTGCTTAACCCATCACACCATCATGGCTTCTTGCTATAGAACGGTTGTTGTTAGTGCTGTGGAGTCAGTTCCAACCCATAGCAACCCTATATAGGGTTGCCAAAGAGCAGCTGGTGAGCTTGAACTGCTGACCTTATGGTTCAAATTGACTTTGTAGTCCAGTTCATTAACCCACAGGGCCATATCAGGACTCCTGCCAAAGAAATAGAGTCTAACGAATGCAATACAAGGGGGCTTCAAAGAGTGTGGGAAAACTAATTGAACGACAAGAGAACTTTCCCACAAACTTTTGGAAACCCCCTGCTATAGTCTAGCAGCTAGAGGAGGACATTCGATTGGTGTCCACTGACAAAGACAGTATCAACTGACATGCTTCAGCCCAGGCAGGTGGACTCATTTGTGTTTCTATCTGATGGTGGGTCCAAGGTTCAGCTGTCACATCCCCGCCAGAAAGAGGCAGCCTGGGAGTCTTTGTTCCCTAACTAGCTTGCGCTGAACAACACTTGTCTTAACTTGAAATAGACAAACAGATGAGTGCCCTCTCTACCTCATACCACAAGAAACTGACAAATATATATTCCAGGTGCAAGCAGACCAATGCCATTTCCCATGTAAATTAGTCAGGGCCTGACTGACACCAATCCCAGACCCAGACTGAGACAGGCATGCCCAACATGCCCTGAAACAGCCACCAGGGACAGACTTACCTCTAGGCCAAAATCACGTGGGACATAACCAGGGTTATCTGACACTCATTCTCTTCCAGACATTCTGAATGACTTGCCTTGTTCTCGGATAGTATAGAGCAATGATACAGAACCATGCTAGGGAGAGAGGCCTACTGACTACTCCCCATGCCTGTAGGATTGAAACTCAATGCTAACGAACACTGAGGATTTAAAAAGTAGGTTGATTCCAACCTATGGCGGCCCCAAACGTGTCAGAATAGAACTGTGCTCCACAGGATTTTTAAGGGCTGATTCTGGTGAAATTGATTGCTATAGGGCTTTCTTCCATCTCGGGGTGGACTCAAACCTCCAATCTTTAAGTTAGCAGCTAAACCAAGCATGTTAATCATTTGCATCACCCAGAGACTCCCTATAAATTAAACAAGTATTAATCAGTTAAACAAATATGAATCAATTCAGAATTAAACAAGCATTAATAAATATCAGGAGGGACCAGTTCCTGGAGAAGGACATCATCCTTGGCAAAGTTGAGGGTCAGCCAAAAAAAGGAAGACCTTTCATGAGATAAATTAACATGGTGTCTGCAACAAAAGGCACAAACATGGCAACAATTGTGAGCATGTCATAGGACTGGGCGGTGTTTCATTCTGTTGTACGTGGGGTTACTATGAGTTAGAGCTCACTGTTGTTATGTGCCGTGGAGTCGGTTCCGACTCGTAGCCACCCTGCACAGGGTTTCCGAGACTGTAAATCTTTACGGCAACAGAAACCCTCATCTTTCTCCCATGGAACAGCTGGTAGTTTCGAACTGCTGACCCTGAGGTTACCAGCCCAATTCATAATCACTATGCTACCAGAGCTCCTTTAGAGCCCACTAGAGGCACCTAAAAACAATAACAACAATTTAGTCATGGACTCAGCTGACCAACAGCAATTCCGTCTACTCCCAGCTTCCCTTGAACACACACAAATGCGTGCTCAAATATTAACAGCCCTGCCTGTGCACTGCGTAAGTCTGTTCATCAACCACGTATATGAGGATGCTTCAAAAACATCATGAATAAATGGAGTTAAAAGATAATGGAATTTCCCCACAAACATTTTGAAGCTCCCATGTGCAACCATGGTCCTAAGCTTTGTAAGGCCTATTAAATTAAAAAGTCAAGGTGTATACAATGAATCCTGGTAACAAACAGGCACTATAATATTACTATGGTAAAAATATTTTAGCATATCTGAAAATGTTTATTTAAATGTTTTTTAATGCACAGAAAGGTACACTATATACTGTATATTAAGACAAGCATTTAATTAACTGACATTAGAAACGAACCATACCTAATGGTTCCAATTTATAGACAAATGCAACTTAAAACAGACTGAGGAATGAAACTCGTTTGTAATCCAGAGACTATAAATTCACACAACATCCAAATCACATAACATCCTATTTCACAGACCACGGGTGTCAATGTTAAAGTTTATAGAGTTAAAGTGAGTAGTGGGTTACTCCTCCAGCTTTTTGGAGATGAGGGACGAAGCAGCGTTCTAGAAAAATTACAGAGAATCGCCTCCAAGTTTCTCCTTTCACTTCTTTTTGGTTTTTCCAGGTCCAGATTGACCAGTATGTGGGATTGGTGACAAATCAGTTGAGCCACGTCAAAGCTAAGTAAGGGCATGGAATGGAGATGAAGGGAGGGGGAAGCTTGGGAGTTTTTTCTTAATATATTTCCTTTCCCCTTGGATACTGAAAGAACACCCATTCTAGGTCTAGTGAACGTAACCTTGGCAGCTATTTTTCCTGCCGGTGCTCATGGCAGACATTACTAATCTATAACCTTATCAGACATTAGGTTCAACACACGCCATGGAAGGGAGGGGACGCTAGGCTGGCTTTTGGCACTCAGCTAAATTCTTTTATCCACCTTTGTCCTGTGCGTTTTCTGACCCCACCCATTTCTCCCTCAGGATCCGAGCTAAGATCCCAGGGACTGGAACTCTTGCCTCGGCAACAGCTGCTGTCTCTGGATCCAAAGCCAAAGCCGAATGAGAGGGGTGTCTGCCTGCAGGACGCCTGCCCCCACCCTCAGCATCCCTCTACCCCTGTCCATCTCCCTTCCATATCTACCCTCTTCCTTCTGGCCCAAGCCATTACCCGGTGTCAGTACCACTCACACCAGGGAGTGGACAAATTACCTGAATAACCAGAACTACATTTCCCAAGAGGCTCTGCTCTAAGAGTCCAGGAAAGATGAGGCACCTTGGTGGCAGGGCCTGCTGGGACTTGTAGTTACCTAGACAGGGCCCCCCGCCCTGCACTTCCACAATCCAGCCACTGGAGGCGCTGTGATTGGTGGTGTCTCCTGGAAGCCACCGGTTCCTATGCCCGGGCTTTGCATGGGGCCCAGGGGAGGCCTGATCTTGGATTTACACGTAATAAAGACTCCTGTGGAAAACCTAAGGACTCCTGTACTTCCAGTCTTCTTCAACTTCCATTTTCCGGCACTGATACTGAAGAAGGAATCTTCCCCATCTCTGGAAAGAGTCTCTTCCACCATCTGTTTACATTATTGGAGTTTATAAAGGGCGGATGCTGAGAGATGAGCTTCCCCTTGGCAGTCTGCCTGTGCGCGAAGCGGACATCACTAATCAATCCCTATATTCCACCTGTTGCAGAGATCTCTCAAGTGGGCCCCACCCCTATGTGTCCAATGGCCTTCTGGACAAATTAATTACCTGTCATATTCAAATTTCATCCTTCATGATCCACAACTCAGGGCTGTCCCAACTGCCACTTTGTCATGGGGCCAGAGACCTAGGTGTGGCCCTGGACTCCTACCCCCTCACTCCCTACATTCAGTCATCCACAAACCCTGTTCATTCTTCCTTCCAAATGAGTCTTATCTATCCACTTCTCTCTATGCCAGTTGCCTTAGGACTGAGTTCAAGGCATCATGGTGTCTCTGGACCTCAGTTTCCAAAGCTGTAGAGTGGGTGAGGGGGAGGCAGGAGAAGAGGAATCTAAAGTCCCACAGACCTGACTTGAATCCGAGCTCCACTACCTCATGGCTCTGTGAACTTATGCAAATGGCTTCACCTCTCAAAACCAGCTTCCTCAACTAGAAAACTCAACGTAAATATACTTTTACGTAAGCCCTTGGAGCAGAGCCTTGTTGGTGAGTGCTGTTGAGTAGGTTTCAACTCAGAGTGACCCTGTATAGGGTTTCTGAGGCTTTTTAAGTCTTTGAGGGAGCAGAAAGATTCATCTTTCTCCCGTGGAGCAGCTGGTGGACTTGAACTACTGACTTTGTGGTTCTCAGTCCAGTGCTTATCCTAGAAGTTGCTATTATTAGCTCTGGTATTATTTTCCAAACTTCAGTCGTATCTTCATGATTTTTACTCCACCAGTTCTGCTATTTACCTAATATTTTTCTTGAATTGGTTTATTTAAAAACTAACATAAATGTCTTTTCAAAACAAATGTTACTTTACAACCTTAAAAGGAAACCACTATTGCTTTCCAGAGACAGAAGATAACAGTAAAAATAAACAATTAACATTGGAAATGCCTGTTTTGTGTACCACCTCAAAGTATCCCATTTGCCTCTAATGATGTATATCACATTTTAGGAAATAGATAATGATGTTCCAAGCAGTAGTTGATGTTAAGTGCAGTCAAGTCAGTTCCGACCCATAGTGACCCTGTATAAGGTTTCTGAGGAGCAGCTGGTGAGCTTGAACCACCAAACTTGCAGTTCAAACTGACTTTGCAGTCCAGTGCTTTTACCCACAGTGCCACATCAGGACTCCAAGCAATAGTTACTACTGCAGTATACAGGTGAGGTCTAGCAGCAGCTATGTAACAGAAAGGGCTGAATGTGTGTATTAGTCTCCTAAGACTGCTGTAACAAAGTACCACAAATTGTTGTTGCTACGTGCTGACTCATAGTGACCGACTCATAGTGACCCTATGCACAACAGAACAAAACACTGCCCAGTCCTGCGCCAACCTCACATTTGTTGCTATGTTTGACCCACTGCTACTGCCACTGTGCCAATCCATCTCCTTGGTTTTCCTTTTTCTCTGACCCCCCACTTTATCAAACCTGATGTTGTCCTTCATGATATCATGTCTGAGAGATGAAGTCTGGCCATCCTGGCTTCTAAGGAGCATTTTGGTTGTACTTCTTTCAATATAGGTTGGTTTGTTTTTTGTCAGTCCATGGCACTTTTAATATTCTCCAACCTCATAACTCAAATGCATCAATTCTTCTAGGATCTTCTTTATTCATTTGTCTAACTTTCACATGCATATGAGGTTATTGAAAATACCATAGCTTGGGTCAGGTGCATCTTTGTCCCCCAAACTGACATCTTTGCTCTAGAACATTTGGAAGAGGTCTTGTGCAGCAAATTTTCCTGATGCAATATGTTGTTGGATTTCTTGATTGCTGCTTCTATGAGTGTTGATGGTTGATCTGAGCAAAATAAAGTCTTTGACAACTTCACAAACTAAGTGGCTGTTAAGTTCTGAAGGTTACAAATTCAAAGCAGCGTGTTAGCTGTATGGTTTTTTTTTTTTCCCCCCTGAGGGAGAATCTACTATGTCTTTCTCCTAGCTTCTAGTGATGAAAAGTGATTGAGTCAAATCCAACTCAGAACCCCATGTACCCTAGAACAAAGCACTGTCTGGTTCTGTACCATCCTCACAGTTTTTGTTATATTTGAGCCCACTGTTGCTCCCACTGTGTCAGTCCATCTTCTTGGAAGTCTTAAAGATGTATCACTCCAATTCTGCCCCCATCTTCAGGCAGCTGTCTTCTCTCTTGTCCTCTTTCATAAAGACACCACACAGATTGGATTCAGTATTACCTCATGTTAACTGGTAACACCATTCCTATTTCTAAACATGGTCACATTCTCAAGAACAGGAGTTAAAATCTTCAGCATGTCTTTGGGGAGGATACAATTCAATCCTTAACACAGTGCTTCTCTTGAAACTGGATTTATTAAGCAGGTAGAATATTTTAGGACTCCTGGTGTGGCACGGTAGGGTAAGCACTGGACTGCTAACTGCAAGAATGGAGATTCAAACCCACCAGAACTGCTATGTGTCATAGTAGCACTTAGCAAGAGGGTATTTTAAATTTCCAAATTAAACAATGATAAGGAGCTCTGGTAGCGTAGTG